ACACGACTCGCGTCTCATCGTAATTGGCGCCAACTCTTGCGAAGGGAAGGGGAGGGGAAATAACAACATTGCGAGTCCTTCTCGCCAAGCCGCGAGGCGCGGCGGGGCGCGGCGGGGCGCGGCGGGGCGGGGCGGGGCGGGCCCTGGTGACCCCAGCCGCCGCGCACCGCTAAAAGGTGAGCAGGACGGCGGAAGCCGGCTGTAGGATGGAGGAGCACGAGCGATAGGACAGAGAGCCGAGTGAATGGATCTGTCTGGCTGGATGAATGGGGGGAGAGGAGTCAGCAGGGGTGGAAGCAGCACTACCGGGGCAGGTGGCGGCGCGCGGCGTGCACGCGGACACCGAGGCGGCGGTGGCACCGTGGCCAACAGGATACGGGGCTTATCGGGTTGAAAAGCCGACACGGAGTAGGAGCGGTTAGGTGGTGTGGCTGGGCGTAGTGGGGCGGGCGGGGCGGGGCCGCCGGCGGGGCGGCGTGCACCGTCGTCGGGGACCTGGTCGCCAGCCACGCTGAGGCCACCGGCCTGCCCGCCCAGACGACTTGCGTGGCCGGGTGTGGTGGTGGCGGGGTGAGGCGGTGTGTTGGTGCTTCTGGGCGCCGATGCCTCAGGTCAGGGCAAGCCTGGTACTTTGGCTTGCCCACGGCCCCACGGCCGTCCTGGGTGGGTGGTCCCAGACGGCCCCTCCAGACTGCAGCTACAAGTGCGCCCCCGGGGGTCGGGGCCCAGCTTGGCGGCCCCACAGGCATAGGCCCCTGGCGGGCTCATTCGTCAAACCGACGGAGTAGGTCGTGTTTTTATAGACGCGATGGTGATGGGCAGGTAGCTGAGCTGCAGGGCTCAGACGCGCTGCCGTCCTGGGAGACGCCACCTCCGTAGCCCCCACCCGCGCGGGACGCGCATATCTATTCGTCGTCCAGACGCGCCACCGCCCGGGCCTCCTCCAGGGCTTGGTGGGTGAGAACTCTTTGTCTCCATCCTTTGTCTCTTCGTCCGGGCTGCCGCCGGAGAGGAGCCGTAAAGGCAAAATAAAACGGCTCGATGACTGACCGGGCGGGACGTACCAGGGGGGGGGGG